ACTAGGCCAACACATATCAACTTTTACTGAGCCAACATACATTAACTTCTGCTGGACCAACACAAATTAACCACTACTAGGCCAACACATATCAACTTTTACTGAGCCAACATACATTAACTCCTGCTGGACCAACACAAATTAACCACTACTTGGCCATCACATATCAACTTTTACTGAGCCAACATACATTAACTCCTGCTGGACCAACACAAATTAACCACTACTAGGCCAACACATGTCAACTTTTACTGAACCAACATACAGCTCCTGCTGGACTAGTTAGAGGATGAAGTAGTTATTATATCGAAAACATATCGTATGCGTGATGATTTATTCATTATAGGACAGAGGTTTTAAAATATGATTACGCTTTAAATGTTCTCTAAATCAGGTTATTCACCCTGGGCACTTTACTGTTCTGTTAGCTCTCGCTGGAAGCTATCTACACTTGTAGTATTGTATATTTCTAATAATGAAAGTTTTTCTACTTCGTATGAAATGGCAGAAAAATATTTCAATTAAAAGTTTAATAACACGTAATATTTTAAAGATTCACACCTATTTCCGGATGTAAGGAAATATTTGACGTCAGAAGATAATATAAAGAATTAGCATATTGAAGTTTAGACATTAGTTACGATTAATCAACCCATAACCAGATTTTCATTGATTTACTGTCAGTTGCTTTTATTACTGTATTAGATGTCTCTCTCACCGAAATATTATTTTTCGTAAAATGAGAGAACGGTCATTCTAATTGCTTTGTCTTTTAGTTCCAGCTCAAGGGAACTTTACTGAAGAAGAGCCGCCTGCAGCGCCACCTATCGGTAAAGTAGTTCCCAGTTCTATTCTGACGAGTCTATATCGTCTTAAAATTGATTGCACGTTGTTATTATTACAATATAATAATAATTAATCTTCAGAATAAGTATATAAAGGACAAAAGTAGACTGAATTAACAGTAAAAACACTAAATTGAAACAAAAAACGTTTAGTAATTACTGATGTCAGATATCTTAATGACAATGTTATCACTTATCAACTTATCAACTGATTCAGACAATGACTATTGCTTACTTTTAAGTGTACGAGATTCATAAGTGCAATATTGGAATGTTTGTTTGTATATTTATAAGTGTTCTAAATGAACAACATTTTTAAAAAGGTCATAATCCCCCCCCCAACTGATTCTTAACACTCGTGTACATTTTCAGGATTTATTTTAAACATCACAAGTCTGCGTTAGTATTGCAAAAAACAATTTGTTTAGTCAGTATAGTTTTATAAATGGAATTTCTATTTCAGTGCTAGTAAAAAGAGTTATCGGGAATCTTCGAAAAGTGTTATAAAATATATTATTTTACAGTCAGTACAGCTGTGAATGATGACTCTTTATCGAGTCAGTACGTGGGGTTGGTAATCGGTGTTCTGGCTGCTGTAATACTTCTTCTTATCATTGTTATCTTCATCATCATCGCCCGAAATCGTCGCCGAAAGCACACAACTCCTCACACCATGCTCAAGCCGGTGGAAAATAGAGTTACCATTAACATGAAGGTAAAACAAGTTTCTAAGTGGATTTTGTTTTATAGAATTGTGGGTAACTACATAAAACTCTCTAAGTTATTTTAAGCAAAAAATTATGGCAGTAAAAATACTCGTTTGAAAGTCCGAGAGATCCTTGCTCTTACTCATTGTTTAGCACTCAAACGATCACCTGAGCAATCTATTTTACGTATGCAAGAATGTAAAGTGTTCTACAAATATATAGGAATGGCCACTAGGATGTCAGTGCCCTAACTTCCTCTAACTTCATTAAACGTGTAGCCAGCCCCCAGTGGCTCAGCGGCAAGTCTATGGACTTATAACGCTAAAAATCAGATTTCGATATCTTGTGTAGCTTTGTGCTTAACAACAAACAAATAAAAATTAAACATGTATCATCTAGGATCCCGCTAGTAGTTCTATATTTCATTTATTGTTTTTGATATACTTTATTCATAACTGACTAGTTTGGAATTAAGCACAAAGCTGCACAATGGGCTATCTGTGCTCTGCCCACCACGGGTATCGAAACCCGGTTTCTAGCGTTGTAAGTCCGTAGACATACCGCTGTGCCACTGGGGGCTAACTGACTAGTACTGTTTAAATTATTTTTTCGTATATTTTCTCTCTCTCATCTTTTTTTTTTAATATAATCTCTAGTCAAAAGAAGATTTAAAGACTCAAATAAATGAAAGTAATGTCAGTAGTTAACTCTTCGGATATCGTCTCATGTTTAATCGAAACTAAATACCTCGAACTTGTTAATTAGTTGCATAGTATAATTTGTTTTCAATTGCATTACTTTGTCATTAGAAAAAAATACTGGAAGTAAGCTCAACGAGGAAACGTAAATTAGGTTAGAATTACGTTAAAAAAAGAAGATTTGTAAGGCTTCCATTAGAAATTAATTAATGGTCAAGCGTCCTTTCTTTCATTAGAATACTTGAAATTCCATAGATATTACTTATTTTACACATATTAATTTGTGTTTGGAATCAAAGTTTATATGTAAATTTAATCATAGAAAAATGCTATTGTATAATTTACAATTTTCTAAGTCTTAGAGATTCATTGAGTGAAAAATATTTATCTCGATTTTATAAAAAAATTACTAAATTGCTTACGAGTTATAATAATTCTTGAAATTAACTTGGTAAATTATTTAGCTATACAATCTTAATTACTAGCATAAAAATTTATTTGGAGTAAATATTTAAAAGGGGGGTACAAGTTATCTCGCGAGAGGGCGGTTTTGTGCATATGGTAACCTTAGGTGTACGGTGTTATGCGATTCACCAAGGATCTGGGAATCAGCTATTCACCGTGTTCACCCATGGGACGTCAAGCTAATGGCAATGTCTACGGTCAGGTGGCGCTAGATGATGCTGATCCGGACAAGCTGCTTTACCAGGAGCCTCAAGACTTCAAGCCTTTCGGAGGATTATACAGTAATGGTAAGTTTTATTATTCTTCCTTTTTTCTTCATGCATAAAAAAAAGTATTAATAAATAAGAAGTAAGCCACAATTTGCTTCTTTGAACTGATAGCTATATTTATTTATTTATTATTCAAACTCTTTCATAATAAGCTAGTGTTAAGTTCTTTAAAATATTACAAAAGTCCTCGGTGGAACAGCGGTAAGTTTTCGGATTTATAACGCCCAAATCAACGGTTCGGTTCCCCTCGGTGGACACAGGAAATAGCCCGATGTGGCTTTGCTATAGAAAATAATACACATACAAAGTAGTCATTCCGTAATTATTGAAATTTAACTGGTTTCACGTGTCTTATTGCCTGAAGGATTGATAATAATGCTATAACATATTGTTACGTCTCCGTTTGTTAATTCCGTAAATTCGTTCCGACGAAACTTTAGCGACACAAGTCCTTTCTTAAATAAAACTGGTTTATTCTTTCTGAATATAACTTTGCGACACACTTAATTTCAACAGTCGCGCTATAACAAACGTCTCACGTGCTCGACTTCAACAATACTTAGTTCAATTACACACTATCTGACTGCAGTTCAATTACTCATTACCTCCGCGTCGCTTCGTGGC